AGTAGTTTTACTCGGTTTTCATTCAAATCATACTTATCCAGTGAAAATCTACATTACCATATTGAAAAAGTATGATTCAGATGAGATTAAGCTATAGTTAAAAAAAACTTCAAATCTATCCTTAAGAAGTTGGGATTGATTCATCTGCATTTTGGTTTCTCAAATTGACCACATCAAATTGTAATTTGAATTGTTTAATTCATAATTTAATTTGATTGAGTTGTAACTTTTAGTACGATATATACACTAAAATGGCTGCAACCATGTAGATTTAGGCAACTAACCTAACTTACGACTAGGTCAATTGCCTACCATATAATGATTTGAGTTTCATTGCAACTTTTGAATAAAGACATGCATAATACCAAGCGAACAAGCCTTGTTGACTGCTTTCCAGTTTGAACTGCTGTGAATATAAACAAGCATTGGCGGAGCTGAGATTTTATTCCGGAGGAAAGGTGGACTGTTTTACAAGAATATGTGTGGGTTTTTTTTTTTTTACCAAAATAAAAGAAGCTCAGAGGAGTATTGTAAGTTATTATCTGTGTTCAAACCAGCAACAACTCTACCATTGCTTTCTCATGCTTTATCAAGTGGATGTGCCCATAGATTAATGCAATTTTGTGGCTTTTGCAAGAACTATTGCATACTTTACACCAGACACTAATTGAGTCTAGGCCAAGTTTCAATGGTTAAAGTACTTGATGTTTATTACAAAGATTGTTTAGTTTGATAGAATTAATGATCTATAACTCATCATAGTATTGATGCATTTAATGATTGTCTGCCATGTGCCCCCACTAAGTAATTAAGATAAAAGGCTTAAGGGAACTGAGATATTCAATTGACTGATCATATTAACATATAAGGGGTAACTTGGGTTATGCTGGACGGTACGCATTTGAATCGTGTCTTCTGCAACGTTTAAAAATCAAACATCTTCTCATGTAAGAACATTGTATTTATTGCTTTTCGAACATCAATATTTGTAAGAAAATAGAAGTTGAAACTTGAAACAACTAGCAAGATGTCAATAGAATAATGTTTTTTGAATAGTATTAGATAAGGTTCACTGTCAATTCTAATTAAATTAACCGATGAAGTTTGAATAATATTATTATTTGAGAATCAACTCCATAAATCTGTCTCTATATATGTAAATCAATAGATACCCACTGGCCATGTTTTAGGTGTAATTTAAAGAAAAAAATTTCGAAAAAAAAAGAATGACAAAGTGCTGGTACAGTGGTACTCAGACGTGCTGGTACAGTGGTACTATATGAAGAGAGTGGTATCCCTAAATTTTTTTGATGCTATACTCCAACGCCATCCAGCTATTACATATCTCTGAAACCCTAGATTTTACTTTGTCACCTTCAAAGAAAACTTCGGAGTACTATGTCTTTCTCAGCTTCTTCTTCTTCAATGAACTTGGAAGAGAGAGTTTCAATGGATTCTACTCCTCCATCAGAACATCTTTGCTACGTTCGGTGCAACTTCTGCAACACTGTTCTTGCGGTAAAAATACCTGCAAAAACTTATAGTTTATTCACTCTTTGCCCAACCGGTCTAGATGAAACAGGCATCTTGTTCCTTACATGTGAAAACAGCAGCATCTCTCTCTCTCTCTACATATATATAAATATATATGTCTATCTTTGTGTGTCTGTCTCCATCAATCTAGTCTATCTCTATCAACAAGTATCAATTCATACATCCTTGCTACAAAGGGTAAGTAATAGAAAGAGAAAGAAAGTCAAACAAACATTGGCATTAGATTTATTTCCACATTGCATAAAGCTTTGGCAAAGAATATTTTGACAAAAGAAAAGGATTGTCTAATTTACTGTCGCATGACTTATTTCGTCTGTTTCAATACACTTCTTTCACTCTTTTTTGTCATCTGATCATACATTTTGTAGGAAACACAAAGAGAGAACTAAGGAACTCCATATCATGATAATAAGACCATCAATCGCCATTGCACCCCCTTTTGTTTTTTGGTGAACTTTGTGTGGTGAATGTAAATGGGATGATTTTTTTATACATGAGTCTTTTTGATTAATTGAAATTATCTTATTTACTGAAAAAAAAAACTTAGTACTAAGTTGGATTTTGGATCCCCGGATGGATCATTTTGCTACAGATACTTAAATCGGATTCTAATAAGAATTTTATGATGTGTTGAATTTGCATCCTTATACTTGGGGACATTTTTTGGCAACTGGAATTAATGATATGTTGCATCCTTATAATACTAGGAGAATGTATTATGTGAATACATGAACTGATGATCTCTCTCTTTCTCTCTCCCCTTGCAAGGTTGGCATTCCATGCAAACGTTTGTTGGACACCGTGACAGTGAAATGCGGCCATTGCAGCAATCTCTCCTTTCTTAGCACGAGACCTCCCCTGCAAGGCCAATGTCTTGACCACCCTACCACTCTTCAGGTTAAGTTTTCATTCTGTCATCGAGGGTTTTCGAATATATAGATATAATAGCAGTTCTTGGCATAGTATAGATAGAAGAATAACAATTACAGTATCGAGTAATGGCAAAAATGTTAGATACTTTCGTGCCCTTCACTTTGTGCTTCTCTCTCCTCTCCCCCCCCCCCAAAAAAAAAAAAAANGTTTGAACTTCCTACTCAAGTGGCCTTTGTTCTTTTGTGAGAGTAACTACAACACGCCATATGCCATAGCACTTTTCCAGGGGGTCCTCAATTAATTCAAGCCAATGTTCAAATGTGGATTGGCATTCAAACGTGGTACTCAAGTACCTCTTTGTTTTTCTTCTTAGCTACAACATGCCATGTATCATCATCTCAATAGCCTGGTTGTCAAATAATTCAAGAGGACATTCAAAAGTGGATTGGAGTTCAAACGTTCGTGCCTTGTTTCAAACTTCTCCAATTTTCTTCCAAAACATGCGGGTGTTGAATGAAAGTTTGATATCCATCAACTTTAGGCCCTTGTACAATTTTTCTCCTGAAATGTTATCATTGAAACTCTATCAATGCATAATTTGTCTTAAAAGGGCATAGTGAGTTGCTATTTTTAACTACTAATCAAAAGGTCTATTTTATATGGCCTTCACTTAGATTTTTCGGACTCAGATCCACTCCAAGGTCGATTTCCTCAAATCCACTCAAGCATACTACCCAAAAAGAAAAAGAAAAAAAAACTATGTATGGGTGAGTAATACTTCTTGANATTGTCGATTTCCTCAAATCCACTCAAGCGCACTACCCAAAAAGAAAAAGAAAAAAAAACTATGTATGGGTGAGTAATACTTCTTGAATTTCTAGTAGGTAATCTACCTTTTGGGTAAAAGTGTATTAAAGGAAGTCTAACTCAAGATTTTCTTACATACATAAATGGAAAATGCCCAGATTGTGTAATCACATAATTTGTTCTTGAATATTACACACAATAACTGTTATGTTTGACTTGTTGTGCTAGGTATTAAAATAATCTCCTTAGTTACCATGAACACACTTGAGGATGAGTGTGGCTCCTACTTATGGCAAATGACGCACTTTGTTTAGTATTTTTGCTCTGGCAATACGTCTACTTGTAAGGTTTGGATTAAGAGATATAGCTGACCATGACTCCTTCATTACATAAGAGACCTGGATAGTGATCTGTTGTCATATACGACAACATATTATGACAATAAGATGATAANAGTGACGCACTTTGGTTAGTATTTTTGATCTAGCAATACGTCTACTTGTAAGGTTTGGATTAAGAGATATAGCTGACCATGACTCCTTCGTTACATAAGAGACCTGTATAGTGATCTGTTGTCATATACGACAACATATTATGACAATAAGATGATAAGCTTATGTTAGTCTACAATTGCTCTTACATTATTTTGATTGTTATTTAATTTAAGACTTCACATAGAAGTTGACAACCCTCTTATATTTGCAGCAAATGCTTGTTGAAAACTAGAAATTCTTGTAGAGGCNTAATTTAAGACTTCACATAGAAGTTGACACCCCTCTTATATTTGCAGCAAATGCTTGTTGAAAACTAGAAATTCTTGTAGAGGCATAGCCAGAAACTTGTAGTGTGGGAAAATTCTAATAATAATAATACTACATATTTTTAATTTAGGGACTTAATAGAGGACTAAATGCATTATTACTGTTATATTAGCAAATAGGTTGCATTTAACGATGANTAGGGACTTAATAGAGGACTAAATGCATTATTACTGTTATATTAGCAAATAGGTTGCATTTAACGATGAAAACCATTGGTAATCAATAAAGCCAATACATTAGATTTTCAAATTAGGTCTTAATAAATTGCTTGTTTATCAATAATAATAATAAAATTGGAAATGTGCTATATTCATTTATTGACCCATAAGTAACATATGATATATTGTGTAAGAAAAATCCCCAATGGTGATGGCAACCTCCTTCCACCTTCTCCTCTTGGGATCAAGTTGTTAAGAAAGCCAGAGGAGTGGATCTCTTTGCTAGTCATGCCTCCTTTCAACAGGGACCTAATCTTGCTTCTATGAAGCTTCAATACCATGAACCAACTAGGATATATAACAGAGTGATTGTTAAACCCCCAAAAGAGGTTGCCATCAAGGGTAGTGTTGAATGGAGAAATTGCCTAGTGGGGTACTTTATAGAGAAGAAGCTACCTTTCTCCACTGTTAATTTCATAGCCCATAAGATCTGGGATAGTATGGGATTGTTGGAGGTCTTGGCCAATGATCAAGGCTTCTTCTTCTTCAAATTTAAGGATGAGGGGGCTAGATCTAAGGTTGTTGAAGTTAGGCTATGGTTGTTCCAAGGTAGGCCTTTGATTTCAAAGTGGCAGGCTAATGTTGTCGTCTCTAAAGAAGATCATTCTATTATTCCTGTGTGGGTGAAGTTATACAATATCCATCTGCAATACTGGACTGATGATGGTCTTAGCTACATTGTAAGTGCCTATGGGAGACCACTTTATGCTAATACGTTGACTTTCAGAAAGAGAAAGAATCAGTTTTGCTAGATTCTGTGTTGAGATTAATGCGAAGGATTATCTGCTTATTTCATTTGGCTCCAACTGGACAAGAATGATGACAATGGGAATCTTGAAATGGTTGTCATTGCTATGGAGTATCAGTGGAAGCCAAAGCTTTGCCACTTCTACAACATATTCGGCCATTCCGAAGATTGCTACCACAAAAAAGAGTAATCTGGTGAATGAATTTCATCCTCAGGAAGCTGGCCATACCATGAATGATAAAGCAAAATCCATTATCAGCACTACCATAGTGGTGGAGAAGGAAGACCAGCTGCCGACTACAGTTCCCCTAACTCCTACTTTTCAAGTTGCTAGCTCCTCGCGCATTGAAAATGAGCATGTTGTTCAGGAGAACCAGGTTAATTCCACTCTTATTCTAATTTTGCTAGTTTCCTTGATATTAGCATTTCAAGCAATAAGAGTAAGAGATTAAGTGAAGCAGGAGGCAAATTGGTTGTTGATATTAGCCTTTCTCATCCTAGCCTTCCTCATAAGGCCTTTGACCCCAGTATTATGAGTCCACCTAAGCCTGAAAACCAGTGGCTTACTCAGAAGAAGAAAAAAGTGAAAAAGAAACCCAAAAGACCTGAGAAGATTAAAGGGTACTGAGCACCTTAAGCTCAGTAAAGCTCTATTTCTATGATAAGTTTGGTCTACTGGAACATTATAGGCCTCAATGATCCCTCTAAGCAGGAGGAAGTGAAGAAACTTGTTAATCAATTATAGCTTGATTTAGTTGGAATAATTGAAATTGGAGTTAGAGAAGTAAACTCTTCTTTTATAATGTAGAATGTGTTTAGGCAATAGAGCTATTTTGATAGTTACCAGAGCCACACCTTAGGCCGAATCTGGATTGGGTGGAACCCAAACTCCCTCAACGTATACAAAGTGTATGAAACTGATCAAATCATCCATTGTCATGTTAAACATGATGAAAGCCATTCTAGCATGCATGTCTCTATTGTGTATGCATCCAATGAATTGGTGGATAGAAGAGTTCTTTGGGAAGATCTAAGATACCTTGCTAGAATTCACCAAAATGAGACTTGGATTATCCTTGAGGATTTCAACACTATTAGAAATCCTAGCGATTCTCTAGGCTACTTAGGGAAGTGGAATAACGAAATGATCGACTTTGAAGAATGTTTACAAGATTCTGAATTGGAGGACTTGAGATACTCTTGTATTTTTTACACTTGGCGTAACAACAGAGATGGATCACATTGGATCACTAGAAAGCTGGATAGAATTTTGATTAATGAATAATGGCTTACCAAATTCCAACAAGCNTTTTTACACTTGGCGTAACAACAGAGATGGATCACATTGGATCACTAGAAAGCTGGATAGAATTTTGATTAATGAATAATGGCTTACCAAATTCCAACAAGCAGTTGCTGAGTTTCTGCCCCATGGGGTCTCAGACCATTCCCCTGGTGTGTTCAAGTTGGGAAACCCACAGAAAAAAAGATGTTTTCCCTTCAAATTCTTCAATTATATTGCTAACAAAGATGAATTTCTATCCATTATCGATCATAATTGGAAGGAAAGTGTATAGGAGTCTCACTNGCAGTTGCTGAGTTTCTGCCCCATGGGGTCTCAGACCATTCCCCTGGTGTGTTCAAGCTGGGAAACCCACAGAAAAAAAGATGTTTTCCCTTCAAATTCTTCAATTATATTGCTAACAGAGACGACTTTCTATCCATTATCGATCATAATTGGAAGGAAAGTGTATAGGAGTCTCACTAATACAAACTTTGTCATAAATTGAAGAGCCTTAAAGGTGCCCTTAAGTCCTTATGCAAAGAAATTGGTCCTGCCACTGAATTAGCTATCTCCACCAAAGATGCACTTGAAGCCTGCCAAAGGAATGTGGACAGTAATCCTAACAACCTACTATTGAGAGAAGAGGAGAAGAGGTTGTTTGTTGATTATCTATTGCTGCAAAAGCTGAGGAGTCTATTTACAAGCAGAAGTCAAGGGTGTTGTGGTTAAAGGAAGGTGACCAGAATACAAGTTTCTTCTTTAAGACCATGACAGTAGAAGAAATAAAAAGAGGATTTTTTTATCAAAAGATCAGATGACTCAATGGTTGTAGGTGAACAAGCAGTTCAGCGTGATGCCATTAACTACTCTAAGCAACTGTAGGGGCCAAATTCAATGTTCCTCGAAACTGAAAGGATGAGCCTCTTAAACTCAGTCATTCAAAAGAAGATCTCCAACCAACAATCTACAGAGATGGCTATGCCCTTCACCAATGATGAAATTAAGAAAGCCTTTTTTCAATGAATGACGATAAAGCTCTAGGGCCTAATGGCTATAACCCTTATTTTTTTAGGAAAGTGTGGCCTATTATAGAGTTTGATGTTGTTGAAGCTGTGAATGAGTTTTTTTTCTAATGGCAAGCTATTGAAAGAGTTGAATACCACTGTTATTGCTCCGGTTCCAAAAGTGTCAAATCCTACTTCAATGAATGATTTTAGGCCCATCTCATGTTGTAATACCATTTACATGGCATCTCGAAATTGATTGCCTCTAGAATCAAATGTGTGCTTCCAAGCCTTATTAACCAAAATCAGTCTGCTTTTATTCCTGGAAGGATGATTAGTGATAACATCCTTATTGCCCAAGAATTATTGAGGAATTATCATAAAAGTAATGGTGATCCTAGGTGTGCTATTAAAGTTGATTTGAAAAAAACTTTTGACTCTGTGAATTATTTTTTCTTGATGGATGATCTTGAAGCCTTTGGGTTCCCATTGGAGTTTAGGAAATGGATTTGGCTAGGCATATCCACCCCTAAGTTCTTTATCAATGTGAATAGAGAGTTGGCTGGATTCTTCCCAAATGCTAGGGGTTTAAGGCAAGGGAATCCTATCTCCCCTTATTTATTTGTGATTGCCATGGAAGTCTTCTCTCTCCTTGTCCTCCATAAAATTAACTCAAGCAAGGGTTTTAAATTTCATTGGAGATGCAAGAAAGTTAACCTCACTCATCTCTCATTCGCCAGCGATTTGTTACCTTTCGACCATGGTGGTTTCTCTTCTGCTAAGATTCTTAAAGATGTTCTGGACCATTTTCAGCTCCTTTATGGATTACAACTCAACCTTACTAAGAACAATATTTACACATGTGATGTGGTAAAGGAACACATCATCCATCTCTTTGGGTTCTCAGAAGGCCAACTCCCTGTGNTTATCATAGAAGTAATAGTGCCCCTAGATGTGCTATTAAAGTTGACTTGAAGAAAGTTTTTGACTCTGTGAGCTGGTCTGTCTTGATGGATGCTCTTGAAGCCTTTGGATTCCCATTGGAGTTTAGGAAGTGGATTTGGCTGTGCATTTCCACCCCTAAGTTCTCTATCAATGTGAATGGGGAGTTGGTTGGATTCTTCCCAAGTGCTAGGGGTTTAAGGCAAGGGGATCCTATCTCCCCTTATTTATTTGTGATTGCCATGGAAGTCTTTTCTCTCCTTGTCCTCCACAAAATTAACTCAAGCAGGGGCTTTAAATATCATTGGAGATGCAAAAAAGTTAACCTCACCCATCTCTCTTTTTCCGACAATTTGTTACTTTTCTGCCATGGTGACTTCTCTTCTGCTAAGATTCTTAAGGATGTTCTGGATAATTTTCAGCTCCTTTATGGGTTACAGGTTAATCTTACCAAGAGCAATTTTTACACATGTGATGTGCAAGCTGAGGTAATGGATCATATCATCCATCTATTTGGGTTCTCAGAAGGCCAACTGCCTGTGGAGTACTTGGGTTTACCTCTTATTACTTCTAAACTTAGATCTCAACATTGCAATAAGCTCATTGTACGAATTGAGAGGATAATTAGATCCTGGACCAATAGATCTCTCTCTTATGCTAGGAGGCTTCTCCTGGTAAAATATGTTCTATATAGTATTCAAATCTGTTGGTCCTCTTACCTTAATCTTCCTCATTAAGTTATTGAAAGACTGGAGCAACTTATGGGAAGTTTTTTGTGGAAAGGTATAGAGTTGAGCAGTTCAGGGGCTAAAGTCTCTTGGTAGGATATCTGCAAACCTAAGGAAGAAGGTGGATTGGGAATTAAATGCTTCAAGGAGTTTAATGTTGCCTTGATGATAAAGTACATTTGGAAACTCTTTACTGACAAACATAATTTATGGGTGAAGTGGGTGCATGTTTACCACCTGAAGATGAGGAACTTCTGGGATGTAAAGGCCACTCAGTCTAACTCTTTGAATTGGCATAATTTGTTGAAGATAAGAGGGATTATTAGGCCACTTATGGTCCACAAATTGGTAATGGTGAAGGTACTAAGTTTTGGTATGACAATTGGCACCCTCTTGGCCCCTTGATGTCTGTTTGCAGTTCAGATTTTCTCCATGATTGGGGACTACCAAAATAGTCTCTGGTCAAAAGCATCATCGTCAATGGCCAATGGCAATGACGACCTTCTACCTCCTCTACATCTCACGTTATTACCAGCTCTATGCCCTCATATTCTCTCAATCCTTCCACAGTGGATAAGGTGAACTGGATTATCTCTTCTAATTCAAATTTCTCCATTTCCTCAGCTTGGAAGNTTGTCAAAAGCATCATCGTCAATGGCCAATGGCAATGACGACCTTCTACCTCCTCTACATCTCACGTTTTACCAGCTCTATGCCCTCATATTCTCTCAATCCTTCCACAGTGGATAAGGTGAACTGGATTATCTCTTCTAATTCAAATTTCTCCATTTCCTCAGCTTGGAAGCATATTAGACGGAGGAGGTCCCCTGTTTCATTGTACAAGCTTGTCTGGTCTGGGAATGTAGTTCCTAGAATGAGCTTCATCCTTTGGTTAGTTGTAAGGTCAAGACTGAATACCCTTGATAGAATTCAATCCTACGTTGCCCACTTGGGCACTAATTGTATCCGTTGCAGAGCTGCAGATGAGACTCATCCCCCACTTGTTCTTTGAATGCACTTAGTCATCAAGAGTTTGAACAATATTATGCTTGCTTGTGGANGTTGTAAGGTCAAGACTGAATACCCTTGATAGAATTCAATCCTGCGTTGCCCACTTGGGCACTAATTGTATCCGTTGCAGGGCTGCAGATGAGACTCATCCCCCACTTGTTCTTTGAATGCACTTAGTCATCAAGAGTTTGAACAATATTATGCTTGCTTGTGGATTTGTCTGGCAACCCAAACCATGGAATGAACTTATTGAATGGACTACTATCAATTGGAAGGGGATATCAATGCATAATTTGATTCATAGAATCTCCTTGGCAGCTGCAGTCTACTACATTTGGATGGAAAGAAATTTCAAAAGATTTAGAAGTCAATACAAAGACCCAAATACTCTGAGTCATCTTATCCAACAGGTTATATGGAGTAAAGTGTCNGAAATGAACTTATTGAATGGACTACTATCAATTGGAAGGGGATACCAATGC